ATTTTGTAATTCCTTCCTTCCTTCCTTCCTTCCTTCCTTCCTTCCTTCCTTCCTTCCTTCCTTCCTTCCTTCCTTCCTTCCTTCCCTCCTCTCTTTCTTTCTTTTCCTTTTTTTTGAAAGAGTCTCACTCTGTTGCCCAGGCTGGAGGGCAAGTGGTGTGATCTTAGTTCACTGCAACCTCCACCTACGAGGTTCAAGCAATTCTCCCACCTCAACCTCGCAAATAGCTGGGATTATAGGTGCACACCACCATGCCCCGGCTAGTTTTTGTATTTTTAGTAGAGATGGGGTTTTGCCATGTTGGCCAGGGTGGTCTCCAACTCCCGACCTCAAGTTAGCCACCCACCTCCCAAAGTGCCAGGATTGCAGATGTGGGCCACTGCGCCCAGCCTCATTTTGTAGTTTCTATCAGTAGTTTATTGCTGAATAATATTTCACTGTATAGCTTTACCATGGTTCATTTATTTATATGTATAACTTTTGGGCTGCTTTACTTTGTAGTAACTATGAATAGTGTGCTACAAACATTCATGTACAAATTTTTGTATGGACACATATTTTCATTTCTGTTGGGTGTAAACCTGGGAGTAGTATTGCTGGGTCATGTGGTAACTCTATAATTAACTATTTGAGGAATGGTCAACGTGCCTTCCAAAATGACTGCGTCATTCATTTCCATCAACAACATATGAGGATTCCAATTTCTGTGCATCATTATCAACACTTATTATTTTTTATTATAGCTATCCTAGTGGATGTGAAGTGGTGCGTCATGGTAGTTTTGATCTGCATTTCTCTAATGTCTAAAAATGTTGAGCATCTTTTTATGTGCTTGCTGGATATTTATTGATCTTCTTTGGAGAAATGTCTATTCAGCTGTTTTCCTTATTTATTAATTGGGTCATTTATCTTCTTATTGAGTTGTAAGAGTTCTTTATATATTCTCTAGACAAGTAAACGTCCTTTATCAGATATATGACACGCAAATGTTTCCCTTCCTTTTTATGAGTTTTTTTTTTCACATTCTTTATTGTGTCCTTTGAAGCATAAAAATGTTTAGTTTTGATTTGGTCCAGTTTGTTAATTTTTAATTTTGTTGTTTGAGCTTTTCGTGTTCTATATAACAACTTATCGCCCAACCCAAGGTCATGAAGATTTACTATGCTTTCTTCTAATAATTTCATGGTTTTAACTCTTATATGTAGATCTATGATCCATTTTGAATTAATTTTTATATAGAGAGTGAAGTAAGGGTCTAACTTTATTTTTTTGCGTGTGAATATGCAGTAGTATATTCCAGCACCATTTGTTGAAAAGACTATTCTTCCCCCATTGATTGGTCTTGCCACCTTAATGCAAAATCAGTTGGCCATAGACATGGGGACTTATTTCTCAATTCTATCCCGTTGATATCCACACTCAGGCAATTGCCACATGTCCCATTAGCATAGTTTTGTAGTGAGTTTTGGAATCAGAAAGTGTGAATCCTCCAGCTTTATTCTTCCTTTTCAAGATTGTTTTGTCAATTCAAGGTCCCTTACCATTCCATATGAATTTGAATTTTGGCTTTTCCATTTTTACAAAGAAGCCAGCCAAGATTTTAACAAAAATTGTGTTGAATAGGCTGGGCACAGTGGCTCACGCCTGTAATCCCAGCACTTTGGGAGGCCGAGGCAGGCGAAGCACCTGAGGTCAGGAGTTTGAGACCAGCTTGCCAACATGAAGAAACCCCGTATCTACTAAAAACATAAAATTAGCTTGGTGTGATGGTTCATGCCTGTAGTCCCAGCTACTCAGAAGGGTGAGGTGGGAGAATTGCCTGAACCTGAGAGGTGGAGGTTGCAGTGAGCCGAGATCATGACATTGTACTCCAGCCTAGGCGACAAGAGCGAAACTCTGTCTCAAAAAAAAAATTGTGTTGAATAAAAGTGGTGAGACTGAACGTCTTCGTCTTTTCTTGATCTCAGGGAAAAAACATTAAGTCTTTCAACATTAAGTAGGATATCAGTTGTGAGGTGGTCATAGATGACCTTTATCGGGTGGAGAAATTCTCTACTATATCTAGTTTGTCATGAGAAGGTGCTGGATTTTGTCAGCTGCTTTTCATATAGTATTTATTTTTTTATTCAATCAATTTGTAGTATTACATTTCCTGAAACAAATCCCATTTGGTTGTGGTGTATGATCCTTTTACTATGCTGTTTTATTTTTGTGTTTGCATTCAGAAAGGATATTGGTCTGTTGTTTTCTTTTCCTGTGATGTGTTTATCTTATTTTGGTATCAGAATAATACTATCTTCATAGGAGAAGTTGAAAAGTGTTCCCTTTTCTTCTATATTTTGAAAAAGTTTGTAAAGGCCTGGTATTAATTCTTCTTTGAATGTTTTGTAGAATTTACCAGTGAAGTGATCTGGTCCTGATGTTTTACTTGTGAAAAATATTTGGTTATCACTTTGATATCTTTACTTGTTTACTTGCTCTGTTCAAACTTTGTATTTTTTTCTTGAATCAGGGTCGGTAATTTGTGTCTTTTATCTCTGTTCGTATCAGCTGTGAGGTGGCCATAGCTGACTTTTATCAGGTTGAGAAAGTGCTATTCCTAGTTTATTGAGTGTTTTTGTCAAGAGGAGTTGTTGAATTTGGTCAGTTGGTTTTCAAATTGTTTTTACTTTTTATTAGTATGACATATGTTTGTTGTATGACATTTCCTGGAATAAATCCCACTTGGTCATGGCGTATGATCTTTCTACTGTGCTGTTGACATAGTAATTTTATCAGCATACAGTTGTTTATAATATTCCATTATAACCCTTTTTTATTTCTTTAAGGTCAATAGTGATGTCCCCATTTTTATTTCTGAGTATAGATTTTTTTGTTTTTTTTACCTTCTTTTTCTTTGTTTGATTTGGTCTAGTTAAGGCTTGTTAGTTTTGTTGATCTTCTCAAAGAACTGACTTTCACATTTGTTGGTTTCCTCTATTGCTTTGCTTTCTCTGTTTCAGTTACTCCTGCTCGAATCTTCATTTCTCCCCTTATGCAAGCCTTGGGTTTAGCTTGCTCTGCTTTTCTCTAATTTCTTAAGGTAGAAGCTTGGGTTATTGTTTTGAGATCTTTCTTTCCTTCTTTCTTTTTCTTTCTTCTTTCTTTCCTTCTTTCTTTCTTTTAATGTAAGTGTTTATAGCTAAAAGTTTTCGAATGTTGTGGTTTTTGTTTTTTATTTCAAAGTTTTTTTCTACTTTCTCTAGTGCCTTTTTTTTAAAACACTTTTTTTCACACATTTTTTTTTTTTCTTTGAGATGGAGTCTCACTCTGTAGGCCAGATTGGAGTGCAGTGGCATAATCTTGGCTCACCACAACTTCTGCCTCCTGGGTTCATGTGATTCTCCTGCCTCAGCCTTCCAAGTAGCTGGAATTACAGGCATGTGCCACCATGCCCAGCTAATTTTTATATTTTTAGTAGAAATGTGGGTTCACTCTGTTTGCCAGGCTTGTCTCTAACTCTTGACTTCAGGTGATCCACCCACCTCAGCCTCACAAAGTGCTGGGATTACAGGCATGAGCTGCAGCTCCTGGCCAGACATATCAGTTATTTAGGAAAATGTGGTTTCCTGTCCGTTACTGATTTCTAATTTAATTCCATTGTGCTTTGAATACATACTTTATGTGATTTTAGTCATTTTACATTTATCGAGACTTGTTCCATAACCTACCATATGCTTTATACTGGAGAATGTTTCAGGTGCACTTGAGAAGAATGCCTATTCTGTTGTTGAGTGGGGTAGTTCTTAGATGCTGGCTTAGTCTATTTGGTTTATAGTGTTCTTCAAGTCTCCTATTTTTTTTGTGGCTCTTCTGCCTAATATTTTATTAGGGAAAATGCGATATCAAAGTTTTCAACTTTTATTGTGAAATTGCCTTTTCTTCCCTTCAATTCTGTCAGTTTTCCTTTCTGTATTTTGGGGTGCTATTGCTAAGTGTATGTATGGTTACAGGTTTTATATCTTCCCAATGGGTTAATCTTATGTCACCATGAAAATTACTCTTTATTTCTAGTAACATTAAAAAAAATCTATTTTGTCTGATATAGGCATCACCAACTCCAGTTCTTTTTTATTTCCTGTTTGGTATACCTTTTTTTTGGTCCTTTTACTTTCAACCTATTTAGGTCTAGTGGAGAATTCTTATACTACCTTAGGTTAGGGATTCATATTACATTATCATCATTAGTACTATTATGTGACATCTGTTTTACTAACTAGCTACTGCTGATAGGTTTTTTCTTCAATCATTCTGAGACTCTATTGAGTTATGTTAGCATATCATCGTGAAGAGTCAAAGGCACATAGGGATTATTTTTCTGAACTGCAATGTTGATTAAATCCATGTGAATGTATAAAAGTCTTAGAGGAGTTGACATCAAATCAAGGTAAAGCTGAGGTTTGAGACTTACCTAAAGGCTGATATTTTCAACTCTAACTGCTGTAGTACCTTCTGTGAATGCTGCTCTCGCAACTCAGGATCTTCTTCATGACAGCTGAACATCAACCATGTGATGGCAAACGCATACCTGAGTATGCCTGGCATCCTACCTCCTCCTCCTCCTCCTTGAGTGGCTCTGGAAAGCAAATAGAATATAACAATAGCAGCGCTGGAATGTTCCTATGTGAGGCTGACCTTTGTATTGCTGTTAATCCTCTATTTTCAGATACAAAAAAGATTACGTTAAAAATGGATGAGAGTCCTTTCTGGGCCACAGGGCTGACCTGCTATTGCTCTTTGCAAATCCAAAGTAACTAACAGGATTCTCGCTTTCTCAACTTCTTGTCCCCCGCCCTGACCTTCGCACTTTCCCAATATTAGAAAAAAGCAGGAAGCTTTCCTTGCGGGTTTTTTTTATGATGACATGATGGGGCAAGTTGATCAATGGGAAAACCCCATGTGAGAACATACCTTCTGTGTACATTCTCACTGTATAAATAGAGGCATCCCAGGCTCCTATCAGAACATAAGAACACTGCCAAAGCACTGGGTACTCAGCACTGAGCAGATCTGTTCTTTGAACTAAAAATCATGTGCTGTAGCAAGAGTTTGCTCCTGGCTTCTTTGATGTTAATGCTGCTACTCCACCTCAGTGGCAAATCAGAAGGTAAGTGTCACTCTTTCTGCTAGCACAGGAGAAAGAACTATTTTCATTTTCCTTTCGACCTTGAGCTCAACTGGGGGTCCCTAAAGGATGGAAAACTGTTAGAAAGTATATAAGAGGTAATGGTGGAAGTTGTCAGTTCATTGTTGAGTGGAGGAGAGAAGGGTTACTGCTGCGGATCAGGCCTTCTGCTCTGCTGTCAATCTCAGCAGATTTGGGGAGCAGTGGGCTCTTAGAGACCCCTAACCTTCAGGACAAAGCCGAAGTGCTGTTTCTGGGAGTGATACACAGTGTTAATGTTACCAGTAGATGGGGCCATTTTGAAATGTAGAGAATACTCCCACGTCCCCAGCTTTCTTACTTCCCAACAAAATAGCTTTAGTAAAGTTCAAAACTCATCCTTTAGAAGTAGATTATAATACCTGACAGCAATATCCCCACAAGGCCTTGGGAACATTGCTTGCCAACTTTGAGATAACACTAATCCCTTAGCTTACAGCATGTTGTAGTCTAACTCACAAAAATGTCCAAGTATTGTTTATTGCTCAGTAGTCACACATCACTTTTAGCAACAGGTGCATTCCTGAAAATGCACGTTGAATTTTTTTTTTTTTTTTTGAGACAGGGTCGTGCTCTGTCACCCAGGCTGAAGTACAGTGGCATGATTACTGCTCACTGTAGCCTCGACCCTCTGGAGTCAAGTGAACCTCCCATCTCAGCCTCTTGAATAACTGGGACCACAAGCGTGTGCCACATGCCTGGCTAATTTTCAAAAAGGTTTTTGTAGAGACAGGGTTTCACTATGTTTCCCAGGCTGGTCCCAAACTCCCGGACTCAAGCAATCCTTCCTCCTCAGCCTTTCAAAGTGCTGGGATTACAGGCATGAGCCACTATGCCCAATCGCATGTTGCAGTTTTACGAACAAAATTAAACATTCCAATTAACTAAGATGACAATTTCGAAGTCCTTTCACTCCTATAAATCATATTTTCCTTTGTAGCTCTATTTCTCAATACTTTTTAGCCAGATAATAGATTAAAATCTGCCAATTTATTCATTTGCTGCATTTGGAGGGTTATCTACATAAGGGTTCCTTCAAGCAATAGGGAAAGGGATGCTCATATTCTTGAATGATTATAATGAACTGAAATGAAATATTGTCAATTTGTGTTTCTTACTAAAGATATCCCACTTAAGAGAAGTCATGTATTCCTAAATTGTTTTATTGAAACAAAACTTCCCAGCACAGAAACTGTTTTTTCAAAGAACTGTAAACTACGTTAAATTGGTTCTCAATGACCTTACAAAGGTTTCAAAGACATTGAAACTCTCCCACAAAGTGGTTTATTCATCATATAAATTAGATTCACTAGATTTTCCCCAACTTAAGGTAGTTTTATAATACCAATCACAGAAAAAGTTTATTCATGTGGACTCAATACCTTTCACTTTTTCTTTTTTTTAGCAGCAAGCAACTTTGACTGCTGTCTCCGATACACAGAACACATCCTTCATCCTAAAATCATTGTGGGTTTCACACAGCAGCTGGCCAATGAAGCTTGTGACATCAATGCTATCATGTAAGTTATCAATTGATTTTAATTCAATTGTATCCAGAATACCTAGAAACTTCAGTTTTAAAAAGGTTTGTCTTTTTGGAGTTTCATGAATAAATTACTGATGTTTTGAACATGGGATATCTTAAAAAGAAATAAATGATGTGGTAAAGATAGCTTTGTCTTAGCACATATCTACTTCAAAGTTCACTTTAAACAGGACTGGAATAAGGCAAAAACTTGTTTTCTTACTTTTTGGTCAAAAGGAACTAGTATAGGGCAAACCACTTTCTAAGATAAACTAAGAGGCTATTAAAATGATATGTTAGGAAAATAAGGAAGACACATATTTTAAAATGAGCATCTTCTACCAGAATATGTTTGGGACCAAAAGTAAAAGCTCAGACTAATTATACTATCACATATAATTTCCTTTTCTTGTTTTTTTTTTTTTTAATGACTTGGTTCCAATGAATATAATTTTCTTGATTTATATAGAATATTATATTTTGGAAATATACAAGTTATTGATCAGGCACATACATATTCTATGTAACCGCCAATAGCAAAATTATATGACAATTCTGGGACTCTCTCTTCCTGCCATTGTACTATTATTTGTTACATTGCAGAGAAAGTCAGGGAGAATCACTTCATTTTGCATTAATCTTCATCAGAACTTTTTTTTGCATTTTATTTTACCTAGTCAGCTGAAATGTTTAGTGTGTAATTAACTAGAATATGAAGTTTCCATTGTATGTTCTATTAAAAAAACCATTTAAAAGCTTGTTAAACACAAATCAAATTTTCTGATTTTTCAGCTTTCACACAAAGAGAAAATTATCTGTGTGTGCAAATCCAAGGCAGATCTGGGTGAAACAAGCTGTGCGTATCATCAGGTATGTTACATTGACATTTAGTCTCTCTCCAAATGTTGAGGGAAGAGGAGTATGCAACGGGGTGAGCCGTAGGTTTTCTGGGATTCTTTAGTCTAACTATTGTGGGATTTTTAAAGGGGAAATTTGAGTTCGACCACAAAAACAAAGAATGCATTTTCCCAATTATAGATCGTCATTATTGTTATTACTATTTTAAGTTAGTGATTTCTTACATGATGTACTAGATTTCTCTATGCATTTGATAGTTGCTAGCTGTTTGATTCTTGTTGCAAAGATGTCTCCTGTTTATATAGGCAATCTCCTACTTATAAAGGCAATTTGGCATTTGGTTGTTTGTTAAAGCTGAAGCATAAACGTTAGTTAAAAAGAGATTAATGGTTCTGATTTACATTGATGATAATAGAGAGTAACATTTTATCAATGGACAGAAGGCACCTGACACAGCGTGCCATACACACTGAAGTTGGAGACACAAGATAAACGTTCATACCCTGTTTCTGTCATTAATGAGCTGAGTTAGGTCGGGCAAGGCCCATCCTCTCTAAACCTCAATTTCCTCATCCGAACTTTGAGCCGCATGACATACTGAGTTGAGATTAAAGGCAGATGAAGCAACTTTTAGGTACCAAAGTCATTCCCATCATCCAGTCACCTTGTCATTACTTACACTTTTCTTCTTTTTCATTTTACAGCCAAAGAGTCAAGAAGATGTAAAAACCGTGGCCCTTCTGGAATGGAATTGGACATAGCCCAAGAACAGAAAGAACCTTGCTGGTGTTGGAGGTTTCACTTGCACATGATGGAGGGTTTGGTGCTTATGTAAATTTGTGCCTCACTGGACTTGTCCAATTAATGAAGTTGATTCATATTGCATCATAGTTTGCTTTGTTTAAGCATCACATTAAAGATAAACTGTATTTTATGTTATTTATAGCTGTAGGTTTTCTGTGTTTAGCTATTTAATGTTAATTTTCTATAAGCTATTTTGGTTTCGTGCAAAGTATAAAATTATGTTGGGGGTGAATAAGATTATATGGGTATTTGCAAGCAACAAGCTATTTTTTTTTATAAAAACTAACATCCTTTTGTTTATGTTGTAATTACATTATAAAATAAGGAAAATGTTAAGACAAATATTGACAATAAAGAAAAAACAAAAAGATTTTTGTTGATTGAGTTATGTATCATTTTTATGATGTGTATTGGAACCATTTCAAGGCACAGAAAACATAAGAATTTTTTAGAAATTACATTCTTCAGTTACTTCTAGTTGTTCCCTTTATCTCCGTCCCTTATGTCCTGGACTTGATTTTACATGACTTATAATGGAACAGTTCTTTTTTTTTTTTTAATTCAAAGTCATCCAAACTAAAAGTTGAAAAAGATCCTGTAACAGATTCATAACCCAATGTTTGTTGATTTTAAAAAACTTTTTAAAATAAAAAACCATGCCCATACACCTTGTGACTACAGGGACACAACCATTTAGTATATACCTGCAAGAATCACTTCTTCGATCATTCTGTCACCAGCTAGGATCTCAGCGTATGAACATTTCTCTACTTACAAGTCCTCCCGAGTCATCTTTAAGCAGTTTGTTTCTGAAAGGAAAATGACTATTCAGAGGGTTCTTAGACAGTGAGTGACTGCTTTGCTAACCAGAGGGAGCCCCCAAATGTGCGAAACCCAGTAAGAGCCCAGCAATAGGATGAAAAGACTTGGAACCAGTAGTTAATTATCACTACATTCATGCACCAAGGTTCATAGAGTGCCTCAGATTCCAAAGGACACGCAGGATTGCTGGAGGCAGGCACGCCGATGATAAGATGCAACATCAAGACACATACATCCATAAATTAGGGCGGGGGTGGGTCATTTGACATGGAGCCAAAAAAGAGCTTAATCGTCCCTGAGGACGTCTGCATCCCCAGGAACAGCAACATTGAATCATCAGGGAAAGTATGCTCAAAATCCTGTTTGTTGCCTCATCACACACAGTAATGTGGCAAGAGGCAGTAATGAGCAAAGCAGCTCTTACAACACCTAGTAGTAATCACTTTAATATGGAAAGTCTCAGGGTGCTGTTGGGCATCTTTCCTGAGGGCTTCCGGAAGAAGTACCATTCAGTTGAACCATATTAAATAGCCAATACTGGATGTTCTTGACCTGAGAAGAAGGCAATTGCACAAGATTCAGCCCAATACTTGAGGTATGAAGAACCAGTAGGAAGTAGCCAGTTGGAAAAGGGACAGCAGGAGAGTGTTTGAAAATATCTGGCAGCATGTGTGGTTGCCACAATGCCTGAGGGTAGGTACAACAAGCATTGAGTAGGCAGGAGCCAGGGATGCTAAACCCACTGGAATGCACCAGATGGTTCTACACAATGAAGAACTGTCCCACCCCAAATGTCAATCTCGTCACCATTGAGTAATACTGGATGCAGAGGTGTATATGCAAGAAGTGGGGGCAGGGGTGGAGTAGCTGCAAATTAAGTAAAACTGTTACCTCAACTAAGTGTAGTGGTTTGGGCTTGGCCATTGGGTACTGGGAAGCCACTGTAAATGTCAAAGTGGATGTGGTCTCTGCAAGGCAGAAGAAAGGGAGGCGAGGTGGATGCAAAGCAGAAGTACCCAAGACAGCTGCAAATAAGGAGGCAAAGAAACGGTGAAACCTCAGTCAGAGCTACAGCAAAAAGAAAAGTGCAGAAGCGCTGGGATTGTGAAGGCTGGGACTCATCCCAGACACCCTCCTCCCCTCCCCATCAGTCACTGTTGGAACAGCAAAGCCAAAGCCAGGACTGTCGGGGGCAGCAGATTTGTCTCACTGCTGGAAAGCCTCAGCAGGTGAGCCTTGTAGAGTGAGGCAAGGAGCAAATTTTGTTAGCACTCTGAGGCTGTCTGAATCTTTTGAGGCCAGGATGACTGATAAGTATTAAGTGAGTTTCTGCAGACTGAAATCTCCAGGCTAGAATGCCAATCTATTAATCGACAATGAAAGCATCCAAGTGTCAAGTGTATGGATGTAAGCACATGGCTGGATTAGAGGAGCAAGCTACCTGAGCAGTCAAATTGAAATCACAAAGCTGATTTGTTAAGCCTAGGATCAAACAGCAGGGCCTCAGCTGTGTAATTTGAATATTTGATGCACTAGTTTTCACTGGATTAAACATGTTCTTGGATGAGGGATGCCACTCCCAACTCACAACTCTCCTTTTTTTTTTTTTTCCACTTTGGATAATAGCTTTTCTATCTACTTTTTAACTGAAGTATACTTTACATTCAGTTAGATACACAATTTATTTTTTTTGACATGGAGTCTTGCTCTGTCACCCAGGTGGGAAGCAGTGGCGTGATCTTGGCTCACTGCAACCTCCGCCTCTCAGGTTCAAGCAATTATTCTGCTTCAGCCTCCCAAGTAGATGGGATTATAGGCACCCACCACCACAACTGGCTAATTTTTGTATTTTTAGTAGAGACAGAGTTTATCCATGCTGGCCAGGCTGGTCTCGAACTCCTGACCTCGTGATCTGCCTGCCTCGGCCTCCCAAAGTGTTGGGATTATAGGCAAGAGCCACTGCACCTGGCCTAGATACACAAATCCTAACTGTGCAGCTAAATACATTTGCATATGCACCTACTTGTAAAACAACCCTGCCTCCTTCAAGACAGTAAATGTTTTCTACGCCGCAGAGGAAGGCTGTCTCATGTTACCTTTCATTTGTACAACCCAAGGGTAACAGCTGTTCTGGCCTGCTTCACAATAGATTAATTTGCCTTTTCTTGATTTTATATATATGGAACTATCCAATATATACTCTTTGGTTTTTGGCTTCTTTTACTAGAATCTTCTGTCTTTTAACTTATTTTTAATAGCATATATAGTTCATGAATTCAGTCTCATTCTTAGGTTGAAGCAATAGTGATATACTGAAGGTCTCCTTTAAACTTTCATTAAGCCCCTTGACTCTCAGAAGTAACACGACACCCAAACTGCAGCAGGCCACCTGATGCATGCCAATGGGAATCACAGCAGCTTCGTTATCGCCAACCTCAGTGAGCCCCAACACTATGGAACAACCTTGAGTGCAGCCTTTGCTCTCTCCTGGGCTAAGTAGCTCTTTCTGTTTGTGAACCACCGCTAATTTATGTAAGAGTCTAGTCCTGTCTCCTAAATACACTCCAACCATCTGAATCTTTCTGAGGTTTTTGGTCATATGTTTTCCAAAAGCCTCTTGTGTGAGACTGCTGATGTCTGGCCGTAGCTATAGGCCCTTTGTGTGACTTTGACTTGCTGCATTCTCAGAGTTGTCTCCAAGTTCTTCAGTGCCTCCCTGGTGCTTTCCATTAGTGCCGTCTTAAGAGATAAGTAAGATAAGGATGGAATAATGTCTTGCCCCTGGCAATCTGTAGGTCATTGATAATCGTAGAAGTATTCAGTGAGGTAGCGCAGGAGAATTCCAATGACAGTGGGTTGAAGAATGAATCGTGACAAGTAGTTTGGCAATGAAGGTAAGGGAAAATAAAAGCTAGGAGGGGAGCCTTTTATCTTTTGATGGAAATGTATCGAAAGAGTCAGGGAAAGAAGAGAGAGAGAGAGAGAATGAGAGAGAGATTGAAGTATTATAAAGAGTTGAAGATTCTGAAAGAGTAATGAATGGTAACTGAACTTCCCTCAAGAGACAGGATGAGTGGTTTCCAGAACACAGTTCAACTGAGTTATCTCCTCCTTTGGAAAAATTCACTCAGGAAGGAGTGGAAGTAGATGGGGAGAATTTTACAATTTGGGATGGAGAAAGTTGACATACTTTGAATCTGGTGGTCTTGCTTTTCTTGGTGAAAGACGAGTCACCTTTTGAGAGCGATGCGTCAGCTTTGACATGAGAGGAGAAGCTTTGAGATAGTGGAGGACACAGGGGTACACTCAAGGTTGTTCCATAGTGTTGGGGCTCACTGAGGTTGGCGATAACGAAGCTGCTGTGATTCCCATTGGCATGCACCAGGTGGCCTGCTGCAGTTTGGGTGTTAAGAGTAGAAGTGGTGACTAGCTGGACTAGTTTAGGCTCAGGCTTTGCATCTACACACAGTGCAAGGAGAAGAGGGCAAGAGAGTCAATGATAGAGGTACAGAGAGGGGTCAAAGTGATGAACCATGCAGTCTAGACCAGAGACTGGAGATGAAGTCCAAAGGTAACTGAGACAATGGGGAGGCCCTCAATAAAAGGCCTCAATATGCTCAAAGAGCAGGAGAATGGGAGGACAGGAGGGGCTGGAGCAGCTCCAGGAGCCAAAGTCCAAGGGTGTGACTGTGGGTTTACAGCTCAAGTGGTGGAAGAGCAGGGTGGTGATCAGAAGGCTACCGGTATAAATTAGTCATTCCCATTGACTTTCCCTCTACTTTTTCCTTTTTCAAAAAAATTAGAGATGGGGTCTCACTATGTTGCCCAGGCTGGTCTTGAACTCCTGGGCTCAAGCCTCCTCCTGGCTTGGCCTCCCAAAGAGCTGGGATTACAGGTGTGAGCCACCATGCCCAGCCTCCCTCCACTTTTTATTATGGAAAATACAAACGTGGAGAGAATCATATAAAAAGCCCCATGTATTCATCATCAGGATTCAACTGACTAATGGCCAATCTTGTTACATCTGTACCACCCAATTCACTTCTTCCCATCTATTCCCCCTGGATTACTTTAAAGCAATTTTTAGACATTAAATTATTTTATTTATAAGTATATATCCATATAGATATATAGATATAATATAAGAACTTTTAAAAATACAATTTCACTCACATGGATTTAAAAATCAACACTAATTCTCTAACGTCACCCAATGTCCAGTCAGTGTTCAAATGTCCCTGCTTGCTTTAAAAAAAAATTGTTTTAAAAAACATTATTTGCATTCATCTTTTCTTTAAATGAAGATTTAAAGATGTAAATGAAGGTGTATGTAAATGAAGATCCAAAAGAGGTCCACACACTTCATTTGTTTGGTTTGTTTCTTTTTGCTTTTAATCTGAGAGCCTCACCACTAACCCCCATCTCCTTTACAACTTAAGTTTTGGAGAAACCAAGATGTTTGTTTGTTTTGTGGTTTCCCACCCTGTGGGTTTTGTTAATTGCATTCCTGTGGTGTTATTTAGCATGTTCTTTGACCCCTACTTGGAA